AAAATAATACATAATAATATTTCAAAAACTTTTTATATTGGTATTTTATCTTCTGTGATACTTAATATAATACTAATACGTTTAGTTTAACTAATAACTTGTRATTTGTGTCATAAATATATTTTAACCCCCCCACCCCCAGAAAAAAATCGTATCTACKCCGTATTAAGCCTATATAGTATATACTTGTATTATTTTTACTTTTCTACCTCTAAGTTTATATAATATAAGCTAACTTTTTTAGTTGAACCATTTTATCAAAAAAAAATGATAAACGCATTGTGTTTTAAATATTGCAGTAATCAACCTGTTTATTTCCAACTGTATTCGACAAATTGTCTGTTCATAATAAATAAAATGTATAAATAATAAAAAAGTATTTTTTTCTGCTTATTGTTTTTTTAAATTTATTCTTTCTAATTGTGCAATCTGCAGGCTTAAACGATATTGAATAATATAATCGGGATGTTAAAATCGTTATACACACGACGAGTACGAATCGTAATTTTATAACGCAGATTTCTGTTTTTAAAAGTCCCATTAATTGCATCGAAAACACAGCAGCCGTCATGCGAATTACACGATTACACAGAACAAGCCCATTAGCACATAACATATTGTTTTATATTAAAATAATTATAATACGGCATAGCCATCGTTAAAGACGAAAATCATATATAATTTTATTGCTGTGCGGTTTGAATTGAATTTAGGGACCTCCGCTGTGGCCTACGGCGTGTTCGTTTTGTATGTCGGTTAACTTCAATGCAATCGGCCGACAGTATAAAATGACGATTAGAGTATTGGACTTTAATATTATTAAACTCATACGGTGCCGGCTTTTGCGAGAATTGTTAATCGAGTACGATAGTATTAGGTATGTCAGTCGAAAGCAACTAAAAGTAGGTATTGTGTCGAAGTRCGGCAGTTTAAATTATTACGGAACTCTGTCGGGGTACAAAGACAAAAATTACGTCGATAATGATTAGAAGTGGTCAGAGGAAGGGCYATAAAAATATTATGTCCCGTGCAGGATTTGACTGTGCGTGTGTTTTGGTTACGGCCGGTGAAACGTTTAAAAACTAAAAAATGAGGAAAACAATAAAAAACGTAAAACGTGTTATGCTTAGGGCTGCCATACCTTTGAAAATAGCAGACTACATAGAGGCAGGCCCAACAAGCAGCAACAATATATCGCCAAAATGTCTTTTTGTTKGCCATAGATTAGACTSCAYCGTTCCTAGACTATAATATTATCAGGTGAATTGAACGCGGTACGGGTTCTACGAGGATTGTCAATCGGGTACGATATATCGGCCGAAACCAAAATCAGAAGTAGGTACCTGTTATGTATTGTTGTGTCGTAGTTTGGTGGTGAAAATTATTTATAAGGAACACTTTCAAGACGCAGAGAAAAAAATTATACCGATAGGAGGAGTACCTAACATTACGTCGATAGTGGTAGAGGGACACCTATACGTCTATARTATTATAACGTSCCATATTGGACTTTACCATGTGTTTAAATTTAGAAACTAAAAAAATGTGAAAAAATAAATAGACGTAAAACATGTTATRCCGAGCTGGTGAGAATGACAACAGCAGTAGTGGTGGAAGAGGGTATATAAATAATAATAATAATAATAATAATTAATAATAATATATTATTATACATAATATAACAACCATGTAAAATGTGTTATCCCGCTGTTTTATGCACATAATGTACGTTAAACACTAATGACGGTCAGTCTGCGACAGCTGCGCAGTTGGAAGTGTGCGTGCCATTATAATATATTATTATTGCTATTATTATAACTGCGAGTCGTCATTTTTGAAATACAATCCCGGAGTTAGCGACCGGGTAAAAAAAATAAATAATGATTTACACTTTTGATTAGTTCAGAAAAAGTCTCGGAAAAGTCTACGGTAAATATACACAAAGAGAACGGTGACGGTTGAGTTTTTCCAGCCGAGGGAAAAAAATTCAGTCTCTCTATAGAATTGACAGTTGCAATTAGCGTATCTTTTTTGTCCCTGCTATTACAAATTTATAGTTATCCGTACCTACTAAGTCCTTTTCCGCTTGTAATGATGCTTTATAGCCGTGCAGTAGGATATTTAATGACGATCCTAGTTATCTAGAAGGTTGGATTTTTCTTCAACATTCCAGTCCAACATATTTATATATTATGATGTAATAAATAGGTCACTCGTGCATCCTTCGTAAAGCCATAACTACTACATAAAACGAATGAAACACAAACGTCA